AGCTTGTCTAAAGCTTGTATCATTGCAGCGGCTGTATCATTTTTCCTAATCTTCCTCAAAACTCTATCTGTAACACTCAAAACAATGGCACTCCGTGCTTTCTTCCTCTTCTCATCCAAAGTTTCGCCCTTTTCATCTGGTTTTTCTGGATCTGAGCCTTTTGACGTTTCTTCAAGAGCTTTGCTCAATCCCAACATGTCCAGATGAGCCATGAACTTGTCTTTCCATAAAGTGTAATCCCCATTCCCGTCGAACTTCTCCATCTCTGTCTTTGACGAAGACATGACTCGGTCTGACTGAGTCACTAGCACCAGAACCTGGCTTTGATACCAATCTGTTGTGAAACTCAGCACAAAGGAAGCAACTTTATGCTTATAGTAACACGAACAAACCAAACTCTGACTGAGAAGCTTAAGTTCCAACACCAAGATTACGACTTTAAACAAGAAATGAAACAGAGTAAAGAGAAAAAGAAGAGATGAAAAACACACACGAGTTTTACGAGTTCACGCCCAAACCGGGTCGCTACGTCTTGCCGGGATCTTTCTCCCGGAATCCACTAGATCAATAGAGGTTACAAGAGTTTAGACACAATCCCGAGTTCCCCTTTTACAAAGGCTCACTCTCTGTTCTACTCTACCCCTTTTGTTATCCCGAGAAAGCCCTTACACAAGTTTACACTCTGTAAATAAGAGTTTCTCTATCACACTCTTTTTCTCAAAATGTCTCCCCTTTGCCTTTTATATCTGCACGATGATAAGACCTAGTTTTCCTCAAATGCACCACGACAAAAGACTTCTCCTTTGTTATTTGAAAACTTGAATCAGACGGGTCCATGTCCGAGACAAGACAAACAACTCATGCTTAGTCATTTAATGAGCTAAAGCAAAACGGCTACAAGAAAGTGGTCCTGCATTTTACTGATCCTGTGCTGACTGTTGGAGACAAAACAACTTCCTCTCCACGCTTAGTACTCTGTTGTTGTTGCTCTTCTTCATTTGTCTTGATCTTCAGTACTATATTTCAACAGTCTCCCTTGGTATGCCAGCTTTTTTAACAAAGGGCAATGCATCACGTATGCTGTATCCATAGCAAGAATGAAGTTTACGATCCTCCATATCAAAGTCGGCATC